TTTTGTGACATTATCGTAAAATCATTAAAGTTGGATTACTTACACTGTCATTAATCCAACCATCCTCTTTCGAAAGATCCATCAAACTTTTTGCTTGAACATCATAAAAGAGCAAGGTATAATTTGGCTGTGCTTACAACAAAATCAACACGAAGTTATATTTAGGTAATACTGTCATTACTTTCACATGTACTTACAACTATATGTAATAATTTACCACGAAGGTGTAGTTTCCATCCATTTGCAAAAAGCCTCAACCTTGCTGGGATCTACTTCTCGACAAGGATTGTATACATTGATGTCCGACAACTTTCTCCTCTTCGTCAGGTCAGTGTACGGAGAACACAATAAGCCCGCTTTTCTTTTCCGACGATACCCTCGTCCTTTCGATGGATCGGATCCCGCCTCATCGATTTCTACAACGTCCCCTATATGTTGCAAATAACAACAATTAGAAGTGGAAAATTTGTTTCATTTGGATATAAAGATGTAAAACTTAACTTTGAATTCATTATACCTTGCGTGGATGAATTTGTATCTACATCATGCTTTTGAGGCATCACAAAATCAACAATCTCTTTCTCCACGTTGGAATGCTCCTCCTGTAATATTATTTCTTTTCCAACACTCTCCTTGATCATTTTTTCATTTTCTTGCTCACCTATATCATTCCCAGACCCAGCTTCCTTTTCCAAGTCCTTCTCTCCTACATTTTTGCCGCTGACCTCCTCCTCTAACTTTGGGTCCTCCTCACGCGCTTATATATCATCTCTCACATCATCAAATCCAGGCTCAATTTCCAACTCCTTCCCTCCTACATTTTTTCCTCTAACCTCCTCCTCCTCCCCTAACTTTGAATCCTCTTCAGGTAGATCTACCTTTCTTTCAATAGCATGCACATCTGTCATATCATCAAACCCAACCTCCTTTTCCAACCCATCCTTCGGTTCATTTTCTGGTACATAAGCTGTGCTACTAGTGGCACCATCAAATGCACTAGTTGCTGGATGGAACTGACCCGCCACAGCCAATTCAACTAACCTGTTAACCTCTTTCCCCACCCGATCAAGTCGAGTCGATATAACTGCTTGTAGCCTTCCCTCAAGTTTTTCAATTTCCGTTCTCAATAAATCCTTTATGTTGATCTCAAAACCACGCTGGGGTGGTTGAGCTGCTCTAGGAGACTCTTCGTGGTATGCATGCTGTGGCTCGGCATCTTGCTTAGCTTCGTCTCCTTCGGCATGATGTGAAACACTCTCATCTTCTTCCACGATTGGTTTCAACTCTTTCCAATAGGCCTCTTTGAGTTCAGTTTCGGTGGGAATCAATGTGGAATTAACCTCCAACTGCAAATATTAAAAGGTGCAAGTCATTAGTCATTCATGAAGCTAATTCCACAATTTGTTCCCATTAAACTTAATAAAGACAATTTTACGTCCTTCGAATTCAACACGTTCTCAATGGCAGCAGACGTTAACCTCTTCGGCATTTCCCAAGCGACCATTCTTGGTATTACATCTGGATATTTCATACCAAACTTCATTCCCAAAGTTGGGATCGCTTCAAATGCCCAAATCTATTGCAAAACAAACATTTTTATTATCTCATAACATAAATTTATATATATAAAAAAAATACGAGTCAAGTGTATTATTTGTTCATACCATTATAGCGAGGGGGAAGCCATGCAATGAATATCGACAACGTGATTCGCCTCCGATGTCCGAACTTTTCAATTTATCTCCCATCTCACGTTTGAATATACTGATCGTGTATTCAAATGAAAACTTTCTCCATGGATACATCTCAAACCTATCTAGATCGTTCACCAAGTCTAGCCACCATAAATCGATGTATATATTCTCCTCTGTAGCCCACAGGACGTACGCCAAGATTACGATCAATCCTAACTTATACTTATCGCTCTTTCTTTCTTGCAATTTACAAATGCATTGTAAGGTCTTATCTACGTCGTTATCATCACCCGCATTTAAGCCCGTAACTAAAATAAATTCTTCCAACCCAAATTTTGTATTTTTCTCTAATGTCTTAAACCAAACTTCTTTTTTGTTGGTCCTTATCTTTCGCAATAATAACTAATGTACAACTTGTGAAGCCAACTTTATGTCCTTCAACCTAAGGAAAGATCCAAAGCAGCTTTCACTAAGCTTGTTTTTGTAATTTGTATCGAGCTTCTCATACACATCTCGCACTATTTGCAATCTACATCTCGTCGTAATCATAACATCTACTTTAAGAATCTTCTCCATAGCACTGCAAATTATAAAATATGTATTAATATTAGAACTGATGATAGTAAAGCACATAATAACAAATATAAAAACTAGAAATATTAAAACAAGCAACCTAGTTCTTCTTGTAGTAGAAATTTTTTTGAATATGAAATTTAATAGCAGGTATTATCATTGCTTACAACAAAGTATATTTTATTTGATATTCACTTATTAGGCGTTCTTAGCTTATGTGCTTTATAGAACTTGTAAGTACAATGTATTATAAATTGTGCATGCGGTGGCTTTATAGTTAAATGCCTCACCTTAGTATAGTAATTTGTTTACAAATTCAGCATTTTTCATTTTCTAAATCATTTAAACCTAACAAAAAGAAGTCATTTTTTCTTTTAAACATTTGGTAAACTTTCTACAAATTATTCGATCTTTCCTAGAAGAATGAAAAGAGATGGCTTTGGACTTGAAGAAAAAGAGTTAAATGTCGAAGAAATAGCCAATAACCCAAACAAGAATAAGAAACAAAAGAATGATGGAAACAAAATAACCATTAATCCAAACTTGTAAAAGAGTTCATGGACGATGCTATTAAAGAATCAAGAATGATCTCTTTTACAAGCAACGGCTGGAAAAAAATCAAACTTTAAACTATCAAGACAAAATTGAAATTGAGAAGCTCAAACTTTTCATTGCAAGAAAGAAACAATTAGCTTTAACCTTACAAATCACATATATGTAGCTATCACCACCATTAAATTTTTCAAGAAACTACACCACTAGTATGTAGCAAACAAATGCAGAATCAAATCTACCAATAGGAAATCAAATATGTGAGACTTTTAATCCAATCAGCATATAAATTACAAAGTACTTATTGCCAGGTGCTTAGGTGAATCATAATAACACAGATGAAAAGAAACATTAAAACAGTGGAAAATAGAACCATCATTTTTTTTCTTTTCACAAAACATTATGATTTTTCTCTCTTACAAAAAGAGGAAATCAGAACATGACCTTTACAAGCACACCGAATATTGTCAATTTTGTGCCATAAAACTATCATAATGTAGATTAATCGCTCAAAAGATTTGGCTACAGGTACCGTAAAGACCCTTCCATATATAATACAGAAGTTTTGGCTTCCTAAATCTGAGAAACAGAAGTTTTGGCTTCCTAAATCTGAGAAGGGGGTGGGGAAACAAACTTCTACTACAAAATCGGAGGTGGAGAAACAAACAAAATACAAATTCAGCTGCACGATACACATTACCTAAAGGTGGTCCAGTGAGTTTCAAATTTTCGAGAACAGAGATAGAAATTGATCGACGACGAGCCTCAGAAGTGGAAAAAGATAGTGTTTTGATTCTTTAGACCTCTAATTTGGGAAGCATTGGGTTCTTTCTTCTTTCGGGGAGAAATAATGGAAGATTATAATTATCTTTTTAAATATTTGCATATTTATATTTTATGTTATTTTCAAGATTATGGTCAAAGGCCTTTTAAACAAAAAACCACTTGAAAGTAGCCTTCCCAACTCATTTTCCCTTTTTTAATGACATGGGACCCACGTCATGTATAAGGCCCTGTACAGTCCTATGAATAGGCTTAATTCACATTGTTAATTATACACCTTTTTTTTTTTTTTAAAATTAAGTTACCGACAACATATTATAATAATAACTAACGATTACATTATTTTATTTTGTTAATGAATTAGGAACAGTGATTTCATTGTTAATATTTAATTTTTTAATCCTATTTACTGTCACTCAGAAAAACTTTGTTATCCGTTGCATAATATTTTTGTTAATTTTATTTATTTATTGATGGAGTTAGGCGTTATTTTATTTTTAATATTCACTTTGGTTTGTATCTTTTGTTTTTTCAGCCGAAATTAGAGCAAGGGAAAACAAAATTTGTCTAGAATAGAACGGTGGTCAAGCGTAAAGCGTGAGATCAAGCTTCAGACTCTACAGGCCTAGAATTATTTAATAATTTACATAATATATACCAAAAATCAAAAATTATAAAATATTATATTAACTTAATTATACAATTTTTAAAGAAAAGTTAAAATTAAAGTAAAAAAAAATGGCTTAAAAAAAATTATAAAGTCCACTAAGTTACGCATTAAGCCCCTGTTTGATCCTCATTATGTGGAAAAATTAATGTGAGGAATAATATTTTTTTGAAAAATAAGTGGTTGAAAAAGAATGAAAAATTTTCGATTTACGTGTAATATTATTTTATGGAAGATTGTGTGGTTGAAAATAGGAAAGAGAAAAATAAAATGTAATAGAATTTAATGTAATGAGACTCAAACAGGGGCTAAATGATCATCTATCAATTGATCCCTTAATTCGTGCTCAGTATAGCGCCCTGGCATTTCGCACGCATCTCATCCCTATGTGCCATCCAGGCGTGCTTTTTAGAGAACTGAAATGAAGACAAACGTGATCAAATTATAAGTATTTATTCATTTCTTTCACTTACAAGCATTTATTTTCTAGAACAATACAAAGACTTATTTAATCATGAGAAAGAAAAAATGTATATTGAAACAACTAATTAGCTGTTTTTAATGTTGTCCAATTCAACAAAGACCTAATCTGTACGGTAACACCTCACATTTCACAGCTCATACCATTCCCAACAGAGCTGCCCAAAGAAGCATAAATATTTCAAAAGGCCCCTATATTTTGAGCTTAAATTATCAAAAAAATTCAAAGCACCACAAAAGCTCCTATAATATAGTGCCAAAAGATGAGCAAAATTCCAATATTATACCATTTCCTTGAATTTCTCTCTACAACAGCCAACCATAATATCTGCAAATTAACAAAATGAACAATTTACAGTTTCCCAAACAAAAAGCCAAATAGCTAAATGTTAGATACTATAAATAATTTAATGAACAAAATACAAAAGATTTATAATTCTAAGCCACATTAATAAGTTAAAAAGTCCAAAATTTGCGGCCTTTGTTCTGTTTTCATGAAGCTCGACTGTCCTCATCCCACTTGCTCTTTGGTATCTCCCCAGAATCAGCAATGATTACCTTTTTTCTAGGCTTCCCACTGTAAGTTCCTGCTCCACCCTCGATGGCGTACACAGTATCCATGCCTTCAATGACACTGCCAAAAACGACGTGCTCACCGTCCAACCTGTGCAATTATCTTAGTGGTGAGAAGAAGTTCAGATGATGTGTTGGGCTAAGCTTAAAAGTCACTTTGTCAATAGTACGATTTACTGCAATATCAAAACTTACCAGCTGGTCTTTACTGTGGTAATAAAAAACTGTGAACCGTTGGAATCAGGTCCCGAATTCACCATGGAAACAACACCTGAAACAATTACGCGTGGCAAAATATGAGAGAGAAAAGGAGTTGTAGTCATGCAGATAGATCATAAGTTTCTTATACAGCTTCAGTTTTATAGTCCATTGCATGAAACAAGACAAAAGAAATCAGTTACAGAAGATCATGCAGACCCGGATGAGAATGCTTCAGCTTGAAATTCTCATCACGAAAGGTGCCTCCGTACATAGAATGATTTCCTCTCCCGTTTCTATAGACGATATCTCCACCTTGTATCATGAATCCAGGGATAATACGATGAAATGGTGTTCCCTTGTAGTGGAGAACGACTCCATTAGCATCCTTTCCCATCTCCCCTGACACCACAAAAAGCAAATTACGTGAAGGAGATGAAAGGTAAAAGAGCAGCCTGTACATCTGAAGTGTTTATTACTAATATACAAAACCGAAAATACCTGTGCACAAAGCCCTGAAGTTCTCTGCAAATAACACAGATAACATAATCAGGAAAAACATGCAAGGAACCATATAATATGATATGTGGGATATTAGATTAGCTAAATATTCCGGCTGAGCACACAAGGATTTTAGCAGAAGGCCGAAGACATACCCACAGTCTTTGGTACAACTTGACCATATAAACCAATTGTGATTCTTCCTGTAGGCATTCAGGAGCTAGATTAAAAACTTGAATGTATGAATGAAAACAATACTACTTGCACAATATAAGTCTAGATTATCTCTTATTCATTACGCAATGCAAGTAAGTTTTCTAATTTTCAAATTTCACATGGAAGATAATCAGAAGAATTTGACACCGTGATGAACTTATCAGTTCATAATCCACTTCACAAATAGATAAGCAAATATCAAAAAAACAAAATATGGAGTTATATCTAGCACAATGGCCGATGGTGAAACTGTTCTACAAAGAAATTTCAGCCTATGACACCAACAGCCAATTATAGTTGCGCAAGAGAATTGGAGAGTTCCTGCCTCATTCCACCTCATTCCACAGAAGTCCTGTGAGACTCCTTTCCATAAATGAAACCATAGACTAAAGTAATGCGGACGTTACGATCAGATTCCAATCCCTCACTTTAGAAAAAGGGAGAAAAAAGTGTGCGTACATTTTCTTCCATCAAATTTTTTCTCCTTTCTTTT